CTACGTTCAGCAGTGGACTTTTAAAGGTTGTAATGGTAATGGTAAACTACTAGATTTACTTTTTAAAACAAAACGGTGAGTGATTATATGTTAGTGGTGGCTTCATCGTACATTTACGTGGTAGAGCCATGCTGCAATTATGTTAGTAGTATAGTTGTAGCGCGAATGGGATGACCGGGGAAGGACCACACTCTCACAGAGTGCCGGCGTGAAATAGTGGCTTTGTGCTGCTGTGTTTCGTATGGTGAGTGTAGAGAACTGGAGACCCTTTTTACTGGAAACGAGGCATTCCATCTTAGTCCACGGATAACAACGCATCTGCTTTTTGATTTGTAATCGAAGATAGATGTAGATGTCTATGGGCCACAGTAACCACTTACCATCAGGTGGACTGTGTGCTCGTTTGTCACCCTGTCCTATAAAAAAACACACGTTAGAGTGGACTCTGTCCACTCTAACGAACTAATAGTTGCTGTGAAGTAGACGCGTGTATTGACTTTTTACCTTTTGACAACGAGTCACAAAATAAATCAGGTTATTTGACACAGGCTACGTATACCGATACTGATTGAACTGTTATGAAGGTAATCTTATAAATATGTTATTATGTGTGCTTTATTTTAGGCCGAATCTAACTATCTGACTAATTAAGAATAATTTTATTTAAACAGATTTTTAATTATTTTTAAATAAATAAACGCTTATTATATTTTAACACGCCTTGGGTGTTACACGCACAGTAAAATATTACGTAATTACACGCGCGAGGTTTTACTATGCCCGATTAAATGACGACTTTTTTTGCCATCGCGGTAGAATTTTGTGAAAAATTTCAAGTAGACATTCAATCTGTTGAAATTATGAAAGACAAGGATAAAGTTGCAAGTTTAAAATTGGAACGTGAATTGCACTTGCGCAAAGCCGAAGTATTTTTGAAAAAGTGTAGTAGTTCAGAAAAGGAAGACAAAAATGTGAATAAAAACAAATTATCTATTTGCTTCGATATTCAAAAGAATCTGCCATTGCCGGTCACTAATGTAACTGATGAATATTATCTCAGACAATTATGGCTTCATAATTTTGGTATACATAACTTAAAAGAAAACTCAGCAACTACGTACTTGTTTACGGAAAATTATGCCCACAAAGGGCCGAATGAAGTAATAACTGCTTTGGATGATTATTTTTTACACCATAAAATCCCAGATCAAACACATTTAGAAATATTTTGTTATAATTGTTTCAGTCAAAATAAAAACAGATTTATTTTTACGTATTTTTATCAGTTGTGTGCGAAAGGCTTGTTTGAAACAATTTCTGTAAACTATCCAATTCGTGGGCATTCAATGATGCCCATTGATAGAGATTTTGCTCTCATAAAAAGGCAAAAATTAAAACATAAAAAAATTTATGAACCTGACAGTTATGTCAATTTTGTATTAAACAGTAGAAATGCCAAGAAATTTGAAGTTGTATTTTTAGAAAAGAACCTGATAGAACGAGGGCAAATAGATAGGAGCGGAGAAGAGCGAGAAGAACAACGTGGTAACGAAAGAGTATTGAAAGTTAAAAATTATGAAACTTATTATAATGATAATATTAAACAAACAATACCGGGAATTTCAGGTTGTCGTCGAGTTTTATTTAAAAGAAGAGAAATGCAAAGCCAGCCTTTTTCTGATTCAATGACTGGCGATATCTTTAAGGATTTTTCTTTATATAGAGTTGGTATATCTAGGTATCTTCGAGATGTTTCTGTCGATTGTTATCAAAATGCTATTAAAATTAAAGAAGCTCAAATTAATGACATTAAAAAACTCATTCGATTTGTACCACAAGAAAAAAGAAAATTCTGTGAAACTTTGATTATGGAACAGGCTAAATTAAATGAAAGTCAAATTGTTGAGGAATTGGATGACGAAATAGAGTAACTAGCCTAGTTATTTTTAAAGGCTAATAGGTATTACTCATTTTTGATTAATAGAATACTGTTAAAACGGGAAAGATAACCCTGTAAAAAAGTCCTGTTGATTTAAGATAAGTCCAAAATTTTGTTTATTAAATTAAAGTTATTATAAATGCTTTTTATGTTTTGTTTTATGTACTAAAATAAAGAGTATTTTGTGTACTATAACAGTATGTTATTTTAATTTCAACATGTCCTGTGGTTAGTTTCAAAAAAAATAAATATATTTTTTTATACTCTCAAAAACTGAAAAAGTGGACTTAGCCATTTCTCGATTTAGAGCACCCAAATAGAAAATGGAGAGATCTGTATGTATCGCCTGTGGCCAGAAACCTTAACGTTACTGCTAAGCGAACTTTAATTGGAATAGCCTGTCTCCAACCTGTATTTTTCTTTGCTATTGCTGGTCCAATTTTCTGAAGTAGAAATTCAAAATCGGAAGACGACATCCGACAGAAATTACTACTGGATCAATTTTTACGAAATTTGGTACGGAGGTAGTTGAAGCCCAAGGATTAACAAAGGATAGTTTTTATCCCGGAAACGCGGACGAAGTTGCGGTAAACAGCTAGTTTTAAGTTTAAGTACCTAAAGCAATGACTTACTTTGTTCGATCTGCGTGCATTTTTATCATCCAGAATCGTCTTTTCTTTGGTTTCCTTTTTGTAACTGCAGCTTGATTGACCAAGTAATAATAATATATGCTCAATGCATAGGCGTAAGTAGCCAGAGCAAGTAGGTTCTCGTCCGACATGACTGCTGCTGGTACACACTCGCAAGAGAATGACGAGTTGAGCTGCGGTCCAACCATCCAATGCTCTTGGTTAGTAAGTTTGCCAAAATGTATTGGAGTTAATGTGTGGCCGCATTAACTTGGATACAATAATTAGCCATCAATTCGTAGCCAAATTTGGACCCAATTTGAAACCAATGTGTGGCGCCGGCATAATAGATGGAGCTGGACTTATTACAATATTATTATTGCAAGGCCTTGTTTAAGAATGTGAACGTAAATAATATTTTCTATTTACGGCGCCTCTACTCGTTGGCCAACACAGTGGCGAATGTAGTGGCCATTAGCATTGGCCAACGTGTAGACGGGGTGATTGGGCTTCATTGGTATGTATTGGAACGATGGCCCGCAAGTTGGCGCGAGATCCTTGTGGTGTCGGTTTTTTACAAAAGATCAAAGGATTGTTGACAGAGTTTGGTCCCCGCGTCCACACGTTGGCCGCGCGTTTAGTTTGCTACAAGCTCCCAGAGTGATTACACGCATCTGATTTAAATTTTATATTCATGCTTTGTAGGGTGGATGCCCCAATTACCAGCCTTTTAGTGCCAATTTCAACTTTAAACATTCCTACTACTTTAATTAGCGCGATTTAACTATTTTTATACATTTGTTTTAATCGATAAGCTATTTATCAAAAAAAAAATAATGAACATTTAATTACAATCAGATCATTATGAGAACAATTTTAAAATAAAAAAAAATTAAGCACGTCCTTTATACGTGGTAGAACCATGCAGTTATATTAGAAGGATAATTGTAGCACGAATGGGTCGGCACGACCGGGGAAGGACCAAGCTGTCACAGAATATCAGTGTAAAATAGTAGCTTAATAATGCTGTGTTTCGTATAGTGAGTGTAGAGAACCAGAGACCCTTTTTAAAAGAAACGAGGCATTTCATCTTAGTCCTCACGGGCACAGAATAAATAATAGTACTACGTATCGCGGGTGACAACGTATCTGCATTTTGATTCGTAATAGAGGATAGATGTAGATGTCTATGGGCCACAGCAACCACTTACCATCAGGTGGGCTGTGTACTTGTTTGTGGAAAAAACGTCGATTTCTTATAATATAATCGTGCAAGTTTTCGAATCATCATCATCATTACAGTCCTTCACAAGTCTGCTACTGAATATCCTCCTCCACAGACTGCCGCAAAGCATGATCCTGAGCCACTTTCCTTGTCATGAGTTTTTCATTTATGTTCTAAGTTATAATTAGTACTTACCTATTATTAAGTAAGTGTTAATTATATTTATTGCTTGTTTAATCTTTCTCAAAAAAAAATTAAATTACCAAATAAATTATAAGGTGTTTTATATATACATCAAATATCTAATAGAAAAGAAAGTACATCTTTTGCTAAACTTTAAAATCAAAATCCAATTTTAAAACATACACGAATCGATTATAACTCCTTTAACTTTAAAATAAGTTATTTAAAAAGCTAAATTAATTAAATTCCCGTTTGAAATAAAGTACTTCTTATTAGGTGCGTAAAACCAAATATCAGCCTGGCGGCTTACAATATTTATGCACTTCATACATTTCGTATATCTATTTACAGCTCCATTAATATTCACTATTCTTTTATAAAAACGTTAACCCCACACTAGGATTTTCTCCTGTATCGCGGAGGCAGTTTACAAACATAAATTGCACAAGGCCACACATCCAGACCCGGAACAATTATTTGAAGGCCATACAAATACTAGTTACGTGCCGGATTCGTACCCGTGGCCCCCGGCGCAGCCACTCATTGCTAAGCCACTGCGCCACGGAGCCGTCGTCTAAAATAAAATAAATTCGTCAGCACATTGGCCTGAACCGAAGCAAGCAAACTGAACGACGTTCCAACGTGTGGTTGCCGTCACAAACTCACGGCCAATATCTTCACCACTACATTCGCCACTGTGTTGGCCAACGTGTAGAGTCGCCGTTAGGAAAAACGTTTATATTAGATTGTCTAATCTTTTTTTTACATGAAAGCAACATGCTTTTGTTTTCCGTTTTGTTTAAATGTCATATTACGTATTATACATAATAGTTGTAGTGGCGAAGTAATTAGCTAAAAACTAATAATGTAAACTATATGTGTTTTAGCAAAAGTTATGAGAATGCTTATTTCTTATACTTAGCTTAAACACGCCTACCTCTAAAAACTTGTTTATTCTTATGTAAATATCTACTTAACTACTAAATCGATATTTAATTAATAGCTGTTGAGTAACTGTATACATGCGTAAAGTTATAAGTTAAAATTATTAGTTAATTAGTCTGTCAATATACCAATCGTTTTTCTATGTACCAATGAGGACAGTATGCAATCTAAATAAAAATTATATATTTCAAAAACCACTTTTTTCATATTGGGTTGATATACAATTCCTTTTTTATATTAAAATTGGTTGCTAATAGTTTCAAAAGTGGTTTATGAACGTAAAGTACCACACAACTAACAAACAACAATTTTGTACTTTTGTTTTTGTTTTAATTTAGCATACATACATACATAAACACTCACGCCTGTCACCCAGAGGGGTAGGCAGAGACTACGGACTTCCATTTGACACGATCCTGACATACCTCTTTCGCCTCGTTTACATCCATATATCTACGCATACATGCTCGTCGGTTAAGGGTACTTTTAACGCGGCCCATTTTCAAAATATCGCCAATTCGGTCGATAAACTTTTTTCTAGGGCGTCCCTTCCCGACTCTTCCGTTCACATCTGCCATATAAATTTGCTTTGTCACTCTTTCTTCATTCATTTTTTCTACGTGAGCAAACCACCGAAGCATTCCTTTCTTAATCCTGGTCACAACATCATCTTGCATACCACATTTATCTCTTATCACGCAATTTCTCACCCTGTCATTTAGATTCAACCCTAGCATACTCCTTAAAGACCGCATTTCTACAGCATTTATTCTACTTTCGTGCTTCTTCTGCCACACCCAGCTTTCACTACCATACATTAAATTAGGGACTAACACAGCATTATGAAATACCATACGTGCCTTTTTTGATACATTCTGGTTCTTCACAATAGAGTATAGTGCCCCATTCACTCTATTCCCTGCATTTACTCGTCGTTCTATATCCTTATCATATCTACCATCCCTGCTAAATACACATCCTAAATACACAAACTCATCCACTTGCTCAATTAACTCTCCTTCTATTCTTATTTCACATACCGTTTTGCTTTCCTCTCTTTCAAAAACCATCACTTTCGTCTTACTTGCGTTCACTTTCATTCCCCTTTCTTTTAATGCCCAGTTCATTAATGTAACCATCATTTGCAACTCAGCCGCCGATGACGCAAATATGACTTGATCATCGGCATACAAAAGGCATTTGACGGTTAATTCGCCCACTCTTAACCCACATTCTTCATCTTTCAAAGTTTGCCAACACCTGTCCATAAAAAGGTTGAACAGCCAAGGGGAAGCCACACAGCCCTGTCTGACACCTTTTCAGATGCCAAACCAGTCCGAGTAGACCCCATTGATCCTGACACAAGCATTAGAATCCCTATAAAGAGACCTCAATGCCTGTATCAAACCAGCGCTCAACCCATATGAGTTCAGTGTTTGCCATAACACATTCCTGTCCACTCTGTCATAAGCCTTTTCCAAGTCCATGAACGCACAAAAAATTTTCTGGTTTTTAGCGAAAAACTTCTCCGCAATCAAGCGCATGGAAACGACTTGATCTGTACACCCCATTCCCTTTCGAAAACCCGCTTGCACATCCCAAATTTTTCCATCAGTTTCTTTCATAACTCTTTCAATTAACACCTTAGCATACAGTTTACCCACAATACTAAGCAAGCTGATACCACGGTAGTTTTTGCAGTCCTGTTGTGACCCTTTTCCTTTATATATTGGTACCATAACTGCTTTACACCAGTCATCCGGTACCCGTTTTAATTCCCAACACAAATTAAACAAGGTGTACAGCAGGCCTGCCACCACTCTCTCTCCGCCCTTAGCATCTCGAGTGATACTTTATCATATCCAGCTGCCTTACCTGCTTTCATGCTTTTCATTGCTTTCATTATTTCATCTACACTTACCTCCATATCCCTTTCCACATCTTTCGGAATTTCTTGTTCATTTAATTCAGATGACTCTTCACTCATAAACACGCTTTCAAAGTATTCCT